TATGCTTTATTCATAGATGCGTTGTGTTTTGACGAAGTAAACGTCCAATATCAGTACGGTGACTTGAATTGTGACTGCCCTCAGCCATGTTCGTAAGTTGTACTTTTTTCAATTAATTACGAATAATGTACAATCATAAACTAGGGGTAGTTTATATGCGTGTATATTTTTTTCGCGTTTTTCCCATTGTCCCAGCCTACTTATTGCTAATGAGAACCCACAGAACCCACACTGCACAGGGGGTATGGGATAGACATGACAATAGTTACTGTACTGGAAAGGAAATACATCACACACCAAAATATCAAGTTAAAGCTCCTGGCTTTAATACCTCTAAAAATAATTACAAGAAATAAAGCACAGAAAAATACAATGAATAAAGTCACTAAAATAACGGATTGTCTCGGGAAGTGTGCATTGGCGATAACTCGCAGTTCCAGGATGTAGAAATGGATGATAGTAAATGGCTTCTGTAACACAACGACGAATAAATACAGGAGTCTTGCTTGCAGAGGAACGCTGTTATTCACAGAATGGTGGCTGAAGCCTGTATCACTTGTCTATCGCAGCAGCAACATACAGAGTACACAGTAGAAATAATGGACCCCGACTGTCCTCAGTGTAGCCTATTTATAGGCCTAAATGGCCCAGATTTAGGGACACCACCTGGGTTTCCACATGAGCCAATCAGAATGTGATCTTGCTAGCAGCTGTGTCACGTAGGCAACTCAGTAGATCATAAACATCCTTTGTTAATAACAGCACACCTGGTAGATTCCAATTGTCCTTCCGCAGTTATAAACACCCTTTGTTATGTAAATCACAAGCACACCTGGTAGATTCCGATTGTCCTTCCAGAGTTGAAAACAAGTATGACCTGTTAATTACCTTTATAACAGTTATCACACGGCAATGCATACTGTTTCTTCCCATGATTCCATGCACACTTCTATAAGCAGGGTTTGAGGTAATATGACAACAACATGTTTAATTGACTTATTCTTTCTTACAGTGAAACTACATATATTGCGTCAACTAGCTTCTCAAGTTGGCCAGCTAACAACTACATGGTAAGGTTCTACATGCATATAACATATTATAGTTCTATTATAAACATCTTCACTCGTGACAAAGCCCTGTGAGAGGGCGCTATGTTCACAATAATCAAAATTTATGTTCACTAATCAAAAATGTATGTTTTTATACTAAAATTCGACATCACTTTATTACGTTTAGAGTGACATGAATGGTATCGCCGAAAGACTGAATGGGATTCCGAATACTGGTGGAATTGGTAGTACAGGTACCAGTGAACCAACGCAGTAAGTGTATGACGTTATAGTTTAGTCATAGTATACTATAAAGGTAGGACAACCCCGTCACAGTGTTGAACTTTCACCACTCTCGCTTGTTTTGCGATAGAGGGCGCCTGTGATATGTATTACAGTAAATCATATTTGGGCATACAAAGACATCTTTCATGAGTTTCATAGTCAGGCGTCAATACTTGAGATACGTCATTACCGGTGGTTGTGACTAAATTATGTGCTGGTCAAAACTGAATATTAGATTTCTTGTTCAGTTAAACGTAAATCTGACTTTTTAATGCATTGCGGTGTACAACGCAGTGCGACGTCTGCACTGAGATGACTCGGTGTTAGGGATGCGTTTTCTATAGTACCATGTGAATTATATTCCTCAACAGAAAAAACCTAGTTCGAGTGCAAATCTACTTCAAGGAGCTGAACTTTCAGTCGATCACAGAAAGTCCTGCATACTCTGTAAGTAAATGCATTTAGCCAATCATATCATCGCACGACAAGATCGGTTGACCAATCAGAATCAATGATTTGTAGTTGATTATAATGAGTAATTCACTCTTGAAGAGGCATAGGAACCATAAAATTAGCAAAATAGACAGGGTGATATATCACCTTTTAGACTGACTCAAAATTAATGGTTTCCATGAGCTTTCGTAGTAACAATCTCCAATCACCACACCGCTTCGCTGATTCACCTTTCAATCAAGTTTTTATTTGATTACTAAACCGACTTTCATCAATATGATCTATTTTTTTTTGGTATATTTTGTAACGTATGTACGGCAGTGAAAAACAACATATTAGTTGCAATTTTTAAAATTATCACCTTAACGTTACTTTTGCTCTTATAACCTATTCATTAATTTCCAACAAAATATGTTTTAGTCTGTGTATTTTTGATTTTTGAGGGGTAAATTTGCATTTTGTTTTCTAAAACACGCATTGTTTAAAATATTTTGTCTTCACTGCCCCTATTTGCAGTGTTCGCAAATTTGTTTTCCCAATATCGTCATACCCCTCCGGGTTTCAAATAGTCCACCCCTTAAACTTATTTCTCTTTTTTTCAGGAATTCGATTTGATCAGTGACATTGGCGGCCAGCTAGGACTCTGGATCGGTGTTTCTATGATAACGGTGTGTGAAATATTCCAGTTTCTTGGTGTTCTGGTGAAATTATTGTTCAGACGAATAATGGATAAAGCAGAAACCATTGGCAATAGGAGCACTACACCAATACAGCACATCAAACTCGAACAAATATCGTGAAATAAATGAACCTACGTATCATCGAGAACAGCGAATGTGTGGTCCCTGGAATGTGTATTCAGAGATACAACTTCAGGGTCCAGGGCTGTGCATCCAGGGGTGCGGGACTGTGCATCCAGGAAAACCCGGATGTATATGTCTTCCTTTAAAAATGCTTATGTATGTTATTCTCACGTACAATAGTTGTTCCAGGTATCCTTTTTTGGACAATAACCAATCACAATTTGAGTGTTGCATGGGAATACAGTTTCAATGCCAATTCATTGCGGGTACAAACTGCATATTTAGGAATTTCTGTTTGTCATTGTGCCTACGATGTGGGTTAGGGTTAGGGTTAGGGTTAGGGTTAGGGTGGTTAGGGTTAGGGATTAGGGATTAGGGTTAGGGTTAGGGGTTCTCATTTTGTTTCCTTTATCTATAATAATAATAATACAATAAAGACTTCTTCTTTTTCGACATTGTGAAATTTGTTCGTTTTTTCCCAATAGTTTTGCAATTCATTGGTTTTGAATTATGACTAAAAGAAACTATGTATTATGTCCAACAACTTGTGCATGAACAGTAACTTATACTGTAGTTTTCTCCATAAAAACGAACGAGTCCTTATCTTGGGGTTCAATGAAATCATTTGCAGTTCAATAGTTCTCATAAATGGATAATAATGTTTAATAAAACCATGTTCATGATTATACACAAATAAATGTTTGCTTACTATGTTGCTTGTCGTTTGTCACTTATATATAGTTGATTGCATTAAAGAACGGACACGCCATCACACACGCATGTCCATGTGCTACACTGTTCTAATAATTCAGACACGGTAAAATAGATGGAACACCAACGTTACTATTTTGTAGATCCAAAGGAACCAGAAAATGGGTGAAGGTAGAGTGAGTTCACGAATTAGAGGAAAAGAGGAAGAAGCAAACATCACTCAATAATATGTTATTGATGATTTCTGTTTGAAACAATGACTTACGACGAATAGTGCCATCAATGTGTTCAGAATGACTTAATGATTATTTATGTAATGTTATTTTATTTTCACTCGCGTGTCCAGTAAAGAAAATGTATGCAATGGAAAAACATCTAATCGGAAATCAGCCCGCTGACCAAATATTATTTTCTTCAAATTACCAGTTTCGAGTTTCGGTTGTTTCGATGACTAGTTGTTCAGACATATTACATTTGGACTTGAGATAATGGTCGTACATGTCAACAATGATTGTGGCTTTTGTTCGTATGATAGTTGGTCGTCACATGTTCACACGTTTTAAACACCACAGTCCGCCCATATTCTACCAATTCGGTGACAACAACGTTACATTTGCATGGCGTATACTACAGAGCCGATCGAACATGAATCAATAAAACGGAGCGGTGTGCATATTTAGAATGAATCTACGTCAAAAATAATCACCTTAATATGTTGTATAAACTGTTAATTTGGCGGCAATGGCTTTTGTGGTTTCCTCTATAAAATATATTTGAATAGTTAGTTCCGGAGTTTTCTCCAAGTGTAATGTATTTCCTTAATGTACACCCCCCTCCCAGCAGATTTTCCAATCATCAACAACTAATTAACCGAGACACCAAACCACATTTTGGGGAAATAGACTGTATATTTATACCATCTATTACAATTATTAATTATTTTGAACTGGACAACGATGCATTTAGCTAGTTTATCTTATATAACTGTGAACACATCTGTCAAAATATCTGTGTAACCTGTTTTGTTTGCCCGAGTTACTAAACAGACATATGAGGTCGACATATATTTAATCAAAAATTCGTCTACCTTGGAAACGTGTTTATTTGAATTCAAAAGTGTAACCCTTTACACGATGACGTCAGCTGGCAGCAATGCTAGGCGTAATCTTCTACAAATGTTATTTGGCATTTGACTGTTTTTCACGCATTTTTGATCAATATTTTATCAGTTGTCAATATCCATTAGTGTGTTTCCATCCGTTGGGGCTCTTTGGTTTGAGTAAGGACGAGCTAATATGACAACACGATAAAACTCATTATCGATTGTCGTGTATTTTTAAATGTTAAATATAGTTTCATGTATAGTTCCTGCTTTATGGGGCTTTAAGCAATATGGTATCAGATATATACTTTTTTTCAAGTTATTGAAAACCCACGTTTAAATTCACATTGAGGTGTAAATGTGGAGTAAAATATGGCAGTTTACGGGTACGGTAACAGGTGTCACGCGGAATCTGCGAGTCGCTTAGCAACCGGGACGGCGATATCGCCGGATGATAAAACCGAGCTTGCATCTGTCTGCATATGATAGAAGGAACAAACAAGTTCGCGAGTTAATGATTTAATAAATTCATCACTAATTATTAAGTTATCTGTTGACTTCGCTTGCATCTTCCAATTAGATTCGATCTAACTGTGTGTTCGTACTTGACCGATATGTATCGGGTCAAATAAGTGGCAGGGTCAGCGTCTGCTTAATCTCAAATATTTAGATCAGTTATCGCGCTGTGCTCTTTGGTGACGTCTCTATCTTACTTCACACACACACGAGGTAGCATATCACAAAGGTAAGTTTACAATAAAATATCTTTATGGTGTAGGCTTTCCTCTATTTTATAACACAGTTGTTAATAGTACAATTGCAATAATATAATATTTACAATGTCTCTCAAAATTATAAATAATATGATTACTACAATAGCAGGACGTCTCTCAGAGATCCTAATCACTTGTCTTATTTGACCATCGTGTTGTTTATAGTGTAATATGACACTGGTTTTGTACTTGTGGATTATTTGGCAGTCGTTTGTTTTGTTTTCCTTGGACTACTAAATTCATTATATTCTCGTTTTGACATGATGACGTTATTTCTACTTTGGTGATATTTTCTGTTTCTATGTGGACCAAAAATACCTTATATTTTTGTTCTCGAAAACTTATATTCATTCGGTTAAGTATATTATATAATAGTAAACGCCCCACTTTGTTGCCGCCTTTATAACATTTTATCGTAAATGACGTACCACGTGTTTTAAAATCGATATAAATGCACCACCCAGCATGACATATCGTAAAATAACTTATAAACATATTAAATACATGTGTCAGTCAATGGATAAATATGCATGTCATATAGTGTATGTAATAATTGTTATTGCAATAATACAAATAAAATGATATACAAGGTGTGGTTATGATCTTTGACCGATCACAGCGTACACTGAATTACTCTAAGGGTGTGAACATTGTAAGTATGTTAGAATGGCAAAGTCCGGACTTCATTTCTGTTTGTTTTCATTAGCGTGACTGCGAATGCACGATGAAATGCTAAAAAAACTCCCTTAAATAATTTTAAAATATATATTTCAGATAAAACAAAAAAACATTCCAGGCTCTGCCACTCTAAATTTGAATAAACTACAAGAATGTCCAACTTTGTGTCAAGTAATAGTTTGTACTGCAATTAGTATTTAGTATAAGGATTTGAGGAAGAATGTGTCCTTGTACCACTCTAGTTTGCAATCAATGATAATATTTACTCCCCTTTTTAAATACACATATTGGATTTATACTTTTTTATTTCAAATTGTTATTTTTTTGCTATAAATTACTAACGATTGATATTATCAAACCGCTGATTTTATGTAAAACTGTATTATAAAAACAAGCAAAAATTAGGAATAATATTTGCTCAATGGCGTATAATCTTACTGAGCAAATTGTGGCTCCATGGCAACTGAATCCATAACTTCACCAATATTCGATAGATTTGACCTTACATCAAAGACAACCTTCCATGACAATTTGAAACCATGAACCAAGTAAAATCCCCTCCTAAGAATGTTATGGATATCCGATAATAAAATTTGATTTTCAGTTTAATATTTCTTATCGTGTTACTGTTCTTATGTTGTTTTCAATCTCCAATTTTTTGTAGAAACATGTTTCGTCGCCGCTCACGATCCCGTTCACGTTCCCGTTCCCGTTCCCGTTCCCGGTCTCGTTCTCGCTCCAGGTCTCGCTCCAGATCACCAAAAGGTAAAGGCGGCCCACAGCCAGTGAGACAATCTAAATCGCGTTCTAGATCTCGTTCTCGTTCACGATCTCGATCGAGGTCACCACCTAAGCAACACCGTCGAAAATCTCGATCTCGATCTCGCTCTCGCTCTCGCTCCAAATCACCGCCTGGCAGACGAATGTAATAATCAAGTAACTTGTTAATATCATAGGGTTGGTATTTTGGAATTGCTTATGTTGCATTCATTGCAAAATTATGAGAAATTATCGCTTGCAAGTGCTTGTCAATGTAAATCCATGGCGACGCATAAAATTACTGTTCACGCATTCCAATAAATGTTTTTGCAGTTTTCATCTCATTGTAGGGGATTGTGTAATAGAAATACGATTGTATGAGCTTCCCGATACCTATGATTTTGCATTTAATTAGCTGATTGAAAATTCAATCATCTGGAGATTTTTGAGAAATTGTTCGACTTTCTCACAATCCCTGCCATTGTTCGTAATAACGTTTATTGTAGCTGCACATGATGACAATATTAGATCCAAGCAGTTGATAATCGGCATGATTGGCTCTGTGTTACCTGCACCAGAAAATGTAGACGTTAGTCAGACAAATATTTAGTTCGATAAGGTATTTTGTTGTTAGCTTAGTATATCTAATATTTACATGGCGGGGCAGAGCTACGTGTATTAGTCAAGTGCCGCTTGCGATGCAGGTTTTATCATGATGAAATCTTTGATACCGTAATTTTAGTTTGTATTTGTTAGCCACATAAAGAAAATTAATCTTTTCCTACAAGTCTGAATTTTTTTTTTTTCAAAATTGAAAAAAAAAATGCTAGGAAACAAATCTCATGTCTCGATACTTCTCAAAATTAATTTAAATTTGACGCCTTGTGTTTTTTTTTTACGACGAATGCCACTTTATTAGTTTTTTGAAGACATACACTGACGCTATAAACTACTTCGCCGCTAAATATACACAATCTGTCAATTTCAAGTGGTTCAACTTGTTAAATATGAGTTAAGATTTCCACCCCAAAAATCATTTTTGTTTCATCATATCATCTATGACGTAATCATTATTTGAATATTACTCATTTTCATTGTGTTTTAAAATATTCTGTAACATCTTTATATTATCTTCATCATATTAATATTTATTCCATTTTATTATTTTACCAGTTATTCTATCAATATCTCATTAATATGCACTAACATATATATACTAACTTTTACTATTATTACCATTTCAATAATATTTTACATTTGTGTACTTTATCTGTCAATATTTCACCGCTGGATTATTGCTATATTGTGTTATAAATATTAATATGTCTTATTGTGTCTATTATATAATATCTTCCGTGTTGTTAAAACAGTGATTATTACTTTGTGTAAATGCCTTCTCTATTTCTTCAGTATTTTGTCATTATTTCTATAGTTTGTTTGTATATAAATGACTTTTTGTGACGTCGCGACTTTATACACATATACTTTAAACTCGCAGAGCTCATTGTCACAATAATTAACCATTAATTAAAAATTAACCATGAATTTATTTTGAGGTCTCATATACAATTGTAGCTCCATAAGCACTTTCCTAATAAATCGCACCCTCTTCCGGCGAAATATTTCTTTGACGTCAAAATGAAGTCGTATATAAAATAATAAATGAATATACCGATCGACCACTGATAGCAACAACATGGACGACGTGAAACGTCACAGAAGCACTGCGTTGATAGTAGCACAGTTTCTCTAGATAGTATACACCTACCTATAAGTCGTATCTAGGACGTCACGCTGATAAGACACAATATGGTTAAACATAATTACACTATCCACAACCTAGAAAGACACGCAGCGACAGAGAAAGTTAGTAACCATATGCCTTTGTTAATAAAGGTAGAAAATGGTGTTTCTAATTTCAATGCATCGAAATTGTGCTTTCTCTAAAAATATCATTTTGGACGTAGTTTACATTGTCCTATCATTTTAATTGAATTTCCGTCTTAGAAACTGTCTATAAACTATATATCCTATAGAGCCGGGGAATACAATAAACTGCACTTTTACACCGCCTACCTCCTTCCCATCCTCAAGTTGTCGGAAGATGTCGAGTTCTTGAACTTGTTTCAGCAGTTTTTTACTTGGCAATTACTCGTTTTATTGGGCGTGTGAAGTGTAGCGGGGTCAATAAGGATTTGTATGCAACGATGCCTCAGCTCCGGATAATACTCTATAGAATAAAATTCCTGAAGCAGACTTGTTTTTTAAACATAATATATATTGTAAGTTAGTTAATACAGTTCTTTTTTATTTTACAAAACAGGCTTTCACCATAGAGGACCCAACCCACCTGGACCCGTTGGGGGTCCTGGAGCTGGACGCCATAATCCACCTGGACCAGTAGGAGGCCCGGGAGTTGGACGCCATAACCCCCCTGGACCAGTAGGAGGACCAGGAGCTGGACGGCATAACCCCCCGGGACCGGTAGGAGGACCAGGAGCTGGACGGCATAACCCCCCTGGACCAAGGGGAGGACCTGGCGCTAACCCACCGGGTCCCGTTGGAGGTCCCGGAAGATTTTAAAACTTTTTCAATAAGTGGTGCCTTAGATATGAACAAGTTAACGATTAACACTGTTATTGGGTGTATCCGGCATTCTTAGTACTATAGTATCAGCAATGTGATTCAGTTATCTTGCTTTTCACTTTCATTGTTAATAAACAAAAGTAAAACAAATCTCATTTTTAAGTTAGATTACTTTCATTTTTAACTGTTTAAGTATTCTATAATTTAAACCATAAAAACACGTGTTCGCGCGCGACGGAGTTATATTTACCAAATCGTACCCTTTTATTGGCGTGGTATCTTTATCAGTTTCGCTTAATGTTTACCTGAAAACAAATACAGAGAATTTGGGAAGCAACTGACGATGTCTGACCTCTGACTTCTGACCTGAATGTATATTCTTATAATCCATACAGCGCCACCAAACATCTTTTCATTCAAGCGTGTTCAACTAGAATTTATCGATAGTATATTGAGAATAGATTTAAATATAAATAGGAACACGATTTTGTATTTGTTTTAATTTAATTTTCATATATTTTTATAAGTTTGGTTTCCTTTTAAATTCAGTGAATACTGTAAAATGCCTAATTTTCACTGGGTTTAAATTTCACTGATTTACCATTTCAGGCATATTCAGTGGGTTTTAAATTCACGGTTTCGTCATTTAGATAATGTGTTCTATGCTCAATTTGACATATTCACTGGGTTTAAATTTCACTGATTTACCATTTCAAGCATATTCAGTGGATTTTAAATTCACGGTTTCGTCATTTAGATAATGTGTTCTATGCTAAATTTTACATGTTCACTGTGTTTTAATTTAGCGCATTTTTCCAGTCAGCGAAATAAGCTAAATTAAAACCCAGTGAATAATTAACCCCTTTACAGTACATTCGAAGTTTTGAAATTACATACATTGTTACGTACAAGTAGTTGGACTATAATATTCTAGTACAGTAATTGGACATGTAATTGTGGCATTTATTATTTTCCAGGAGGAATGCGCATCCCAGAACTGTTTTGCATCAAACAGATGAACCATGCACAAACTGGTAACTTTGATTTATCCGTAAAAATCTAAATTACACATCAAATTTGACGTGAACGGGAATCGAAATCGAAAATTCGAGAAAACAACACAAACTCAACTTTGAAGTAATCCTGAACAACCAATTTCATATATGTTACACACGTAGGGCTAATCTTGTTACACTGTTCAGGGGACTCTCAACAACCATCGCAAAGTACCGTTTTCTGCGAGTTTTTGATCTTTGTTTTCACCGCGAGGGTTGCCAGGTGGTAGAAAATGCCCGGATGTCCGCCCCCGAGGATAGCAGGAGCCATGGTAGGCAGCCAACGACCAAATATAAATAACGCCCTCTCTGACAACGCCGTAGATCCAGGGATAATGTGCTGCGGTCATTGAATTTATAGACGCGGCAACTACCTCAAACTCAACTACCTCGGTGAATATTTACACTGACAATCGCTCCCTCAGACAGGAACTAACCCAACCCCACAATGTTTATCCAACACAATTCTGACAGTTTGAGGCACCATAGACACTTTTTATGTGAAAATTTCAAGTACAGGAGCTCATAAAACTTTCATTTCGAACGCCACTAGGCTCGCCGCTAGATAAACTTACTTTAGATCAACAATAAGTTGGCACCGTAGTTACAACTATAAATTATACATATTAAATAGAATAAAACAGCTAAACAAAATATAAAGATATAATTCGAGAAGAAAAATACACGATACCAATTAATTTATGATCGACTATGACAAAATTCTTTTGCATACAACAGTAATTCAATTGTGGGAATTGTGTAAATTGTGCCATCAACGACTGAAGTTTGAAAACCGTTTGTTTTCATACAATTTATATAACTGTTAAAATGTATCGAATACATCTCACACAAATAGCTTTATTTTAATAGTCTAAATGTGCAACTGAAGAGATTATTTCACTGAAAAATGTCCTTGTGGTATATATGCATAGTACGTTTTACACAAAGTGTTTCGGCAGATAGACTAGGTCATAGTGAGCAAGTTGTTACCCCAGTACTACAGTGTTATACAGACATCGGATGCATCTTTGTTATGAGATATCGAAAGGGATGCATATTTCCCAACAATTAGAAAATATCAGAGTATTTAGCTGAAGCGATGGAGAGACTGTAGTGTGTCAAAAATGGCTGTATTGTGGCCTTTCATCCCACAATTATACGCAGATTTCAGTTACAAACAAGTTTTAATGTATATGCATTCGTTGTGAAGACAAACAATTATATATGGGGTATGTGATACAAACAACTCAGTATTAGGTGTGTTTTTTATTTCAAATCGAAGTCGCTGCTTAAAGCGCGGCAAATAGAAATACAGGCAATCATGTACAATAAATAAATAAATTATTTTTCATTCACCGACAACCCTTACAAAATGAATCTTAAGTTTTAAAAACTTTTAGATAAGGTACTTTTTATACAGTAAAACTGCGCGAATGCGATAGTGTGTTTGGTAACTGGGTATATGGAGTAGTATGGTGGCTGAAACGCACACTGAGTGTAGACCTGTAGACTTCCGTAAGTAAGATACACGCATAACCCGTTGGGGATGCTTACTCGCGATCATTGTCTGAACAGGGAAAATAGCTTAGTTTAAAATGGACGATTCGTGGTGGTGGTAATACAATATTTTCAATAAAATTTAAGTGTATCCACTCATGAGAAATCTTATATATAATTAACGAAATATTTGGTTACAGAATTATACTAATTTAGTTTCTTAAGTTGTCCACTCAATTACATGTTGTCTGGTGGCATTTTCACAAATGATTTTTAAAGAAGAGATATTAATAAACTGACCCAGTGTTCATTCAAAATATAATATCCATCAACACTTCGCATTTCATCGCCTACACAAGAGGGCGATGTTCACATAAAAAAGTGGACACTGCTTCAACACGTACAATAACATGACGTCCCAAAGAAGGCACATGTTCTGATTTTGCACACGACACTATCAAAGTATTGATATTGTTATTATCAAGTAAATTAGTTTTGATTTAGCATATTTACACAAATATCATGAAAGACACGTAGGTATTTTACAACTTAAAATAATATCAAACATTTTCGGCCTTTGTTTCCCCGCGGTACCTATTCTTCAAAGCCGGCTGAACGACGAGGGTCGTCACCTGCGCACGCGCGAGAATTGAGTCCCGACACGCTATGACCACCTGACGCATGCGTAAGTGAAGACTCCCCCGCTTTAATAATAACGTGGAGAGAAAAAATAGTGGCGTAACAAATGTGGCAGCTTGTTGAACTTATATAGTTATGACAACAACCGACGAGCAGTACGACCGAAAAAAGACTTCATGAGCACCGTTCATAGAAAATTATTTCAAAGTATATGGATGATAACATTGTGAAAAAAAATTGAACGAATGTAAGTGCGCCACCAACGTTAGGTGATTCGCAACACCTTGCTATGTTGTTGCTTCCTCGTCTGTATTCTTATTCCATAAACATTCAATAATGTCAGATAATATTTAAATCAGTGATACGAAATGACGTCAGTTGTACCATTTTGAGTGCTGTTGGTGATGATACCAACAAAGATTTTGCCACACACGCCGTAAGGGAGTAATGCTCGTCATGCTCGAATGACGAGGGCACGCGTGAAAAGAGACGCTGTAATGACGTCATTGAGCCCCATCGGTTCAAGGATTGGTTTTGCGTAACAAACTGATGATGCCATAATATGTTATACATCGATTTCTGTCATAGAGGGCAGTAGAGACCTCCTTCTTGCTGGTGGTCCTTTGCTAGGTCCATGAAGAGACTTACTTCGTCCTGAAAAAAACAAATGTTCTACTGATATAGAAAGAATCACTCAGGTGAAACTCGCGTTCTGGTATTTTCAGTCAAGTTTGAATTGAAATGTGTTTGACCTACTTGAAATCTGAGTTCATAACAACATGTTTAAAGGGCGGCAGTCGTCACGCCGCGTTCTGTTCGATATGGGATTCATAGCGGCGTATACAACGCGTGTAAAATACATTGTTTATTTACATGAAATTCGAACACGCGCTGCGCGACGACCACCGCACTTTAAAAGCTGCTTGATAATCCGTAAAATGTATCCGGAAATAACGCACCATTACAGCCATCACTAATTTCTAAAATACGATAACGATCGTTTCATAAAAACAATACATGTTTACTGCTGGACTACGTTTTTAATTAGTGAATGATAACATGATAGCTCAAAGGACATGTTCAAATGGAATCAAAATGGCAAATCAGAAACTGACATTACCTGCAATACTACCATTTGGTCTGAAACTTTCTCGTCTTCCTACCCCGAGTCCATTAGGAACGAAACTTTCCCGTCGTCCAGTACCTCGCTTGCCAGTATTAGGTGATTTCTTTCTTGTAGTTTTGGGACTATCTGTTACTTCATCTGTGAATGTTACGCTAATTCCCGTCGATTGACCGTTGGCTACAAATAATTAAGAAGAGGTATTAAGAAGTGTATATTTATGAATGTTTACATGTATGTACATTTCCTAAAACTATCATGCATGGAATCTGCGCCATGTCCCACTCACCAAACTCCAATAACACGTAGAATTTACACAGTGTATTCACTTATTATATTACACTAATGCCTAGAATCTATGCAGTGTTTTATTCACTATAATACCTCGCTCCACTAACTAACGCCTAGAATCTATGCAGTGTGTTATTCACTATAATACCCCGCTCCACTAACTAACGCCTAGAATATATGCAGTGTGTTATTCACTATAATACCTCGCTCCACTAACTAACGCCTAGAATCTATGCAGTGTGTTATTCACTATAATACCTCGCTCCACTAACTAACGCCTAGAATCTATGCAGTGTGTTATTCACTATAATACCTCGCTCCACTAACTAACGCCTAGAATCTATGCAGTGTGTTATTCACTATAATACCTCGCTCCACTAACTAACGCCTAGAATCTATGCAGTGTGTTATTCACTATAATACCTCGCTCCACTAACTAACGCCTAGAATCTATGCAGTGTGTTATTCACTATAATACCTCGCTCCACTAACTAACGCCTAGAATCTATGCAGTGTGTTATTCACTATAATACCTCGCTCCACTAACTAACGCCTAGAATCTATGCAGTGTGTTATTCACTATAATACCTCGCTCCACTAACTAACGCCTAGAATCTATGCAGTGTGTTATTCACTAGAATACCTCACTCCACTAACTAACGCCTAGAATCTATGCAGTGTGTTATTCACTATAATACCTCGCTCCACTAACTAACGCCTAGAATCTATGCAATTTTTTTCAATAACTCACTCCACTAACTAACGCCTAGAATCTATGCAGTGTTTTCATTCAATACCTCACTCCACTAACTAACGCCTAGAATCTATGCAGTGTTTCATTCAGTATAACTCACTCCACTAACTAACGCCTAGAATCTATGCAGTGTTTCATTCAGTATAACTCACTCCACTAACTAACGCCTAGAATCTATGCAGTGTTTCGTTCAGTATAACTCAATCCACTAACTAACGCCTAGAATCTATGCAGTGTTTCATTCAGTATAACTCAATCCACTAACTAACGCCTAGAATCTATGCAGTGTTTCATTCAGTATAACTCACTCCACTAACTAACGCCTAGAATCTATGCAGTGTTTCATTCAGTATAACTCACTCCACTAACTAACGCCTAGAATCTATGCAGTGTTCCAGGCGTTATACGCCACTCCAAAGCCGGTAGATTTGATTGGTTAAATTGTGGAGCCGTTTCAATAAATATCGCCAATATAAACGTGACTACCATAGAAATTACTCATACGTCATACATTAATGACAATATAATCATTAGTCTGTAGTTCCACTAATTAGAATTGTATTATCGATCGTGAAAATATTTTTATAAGTGGAAATACATGTATATAATATTCATCGGCAGTGAGGCAAAAAGTAAAAAATGAATAAACAAAATTGACTTTTATATCGTTCTGTGGCAAAACAAAATTACAATCGAGCGTTTTGCACTCTCAATACAAAGTGTCGATTATTATTCATATCGATCGATTAACTTTGAGAAAAAAACAACATGGCGTCGTTTTGTTATTATTATTAACAAGAGTTAATATAATGCGTGGTCGTTTATGTGATAATTTAGTTAAATGTCTGTAAAACAGGGGACGTTTAGGTTATAATTAAATCAACAGGGACGTTACCATTGACAACATACGATATGTGGTAACTCCAATCACCGACGAGTCTCTGGGTCGATCATGACTAATTTACAGACGGATAATTCACAAAGAATGATACAATCAATTTTCTTTTAGGAAACACTTCAACTAATCGATCACTGAGTATTTCTGGTAGAAATGGATTTTGAGTAGCACAAGTACAGTGGTATCGTCACTACATTTTGCTGTGCTGTATCAATTTTAAATCGAATGTTTCAACTTTCAAGTAATAGTGCGCTTGCTTTGATCGCCTATAACACTTTCCGTTTTCGACATTGTGAAATTATTTCGTTTTTTGGGAGAAAAAACTCTGAAAAAAACTGATTTTGACAAAATAATTCAAAAGATTTATATTAAGAATAATTCATAACAAAATGTATTCCCTGTGCACCCATAAATATTTTTTCATAATTACCGATTACACAACAATGTTACAGAAAAAAAATTGCTATATTCTCTATATTTTTGCCCTTTATTTGTCTTGAATTATGAAACTGAATGAAATTACAATCTGTGTAGTGTGTTCAACAACAACAACAACAACAACAACTTATGTATGAACAATAACTTTGATAAATATGATTTAACTTGGTAAAAATACAGCAGTGAACAAAGATGGCGACTTTGAATGTTGCACAGACCAAAGACTATAAACTGAAACCGCAGTCACTCTATAAAAGGACTTTGCTGAAAACGTTACTAAGCATTTAATCATGTAATTTCTTTGGTGATGGGAGATATGAGCAGAGTCGCCTGCGGAAATAAGTGTACGTTGATTTTCATTAGAAGAGTGCATTAGATTTAGGAAAATCAATGTTGATCAACACAAATGTCGCACATGCGCAGTGCGACGATCACTGCTCTTTTATCGCACAAAATTCCATATGGAATTATTTGCATTTCTATGTATATCCCGATGCTTGGTGTCGCCCTACAACTAAGTAATATTACAGATACGAGGATATATGTAATACACTTCTAAAACAATGATTTCAAATGATTTTAATAAATATGGTGCAAGAACCGTGTGCCAGTAAAACAAAAATTTTAGCCAGTCAGTTTTGAAATGACGAACAGTCACTTATACAGGCCTGGTACTGTTTTAACAATGATGACATTTGTAGTGATACTGTTTGTTTTCTACTACTAGAAAATACACTCTCTTCAACATTAAAAATTGTGCATACTTTACATCGTCGTCTACGGCCAGGCTCTGGTATATAGTTCGTGTGTCAGACCATGACGGCGACGCGGGCGGCGACGGAGTAACGTGTACAACACCAACGATGACGTATAACGATGCATGTTTTAATGCGTCACTCGAATAGCTGTGTTTCTTTCCAGAGAATCAACATAGACATGGTATAAAATAAACATTAGCTTGTAAGAACTATATGTATCGTTCCCTGGCAACAACCCCGTTGACACGTTCCTCGGCAGAGTCCACTCGATCTCAGTATGCTAATTTGTCTGCCACTTGAGATGTGGCACAGCTGTCTAACGAAGAACAATTCTCAAGAATTGGCCTCATGCCTGTCACGTCGGCCACTACACTGGTTCATTTCTAGTATCATAAGATTTGGGTCAGCAGAATTCAGTGAGCGAAATTATGCTCATTAAATCAGATAGGAAATTTTTTTCGTGAACGGTATGCATACTTTTTGTCTGGAAACAGATTAAGGGCTGACCATTTGACTGGACGCGTCATTTTCTTCAGACAAAGTGAATGTTTTGCGAAGGAAGATATCTAATGATAACAAGTTTTAATAAAAGAATATTGCAAACTGTGCAGCACTGAAGCACCATGGTTGTTAAAGCGGGAG